TATTTTCCTTGGCACTATGTACCGTTACCTTTCAATATGATATTGGTCAATTTCAAAATTGCTACTTTTTCTCCAAGTCTCTTGGCAACCAAGACGTGCACGTGGTTGTTATTATAGGGATATGCGTGACTGCGCGTTTTTTCTTCTGTTTGATAAAAACTAAAGCTGGCAGCTCCCGATAAGTTTTCTTTCCTTATCAGAAACTTGTGAGATCACTAGGTTTTAAAAGAACATCACTCCGTTAGATTTTCTTTCTTTCTTTTATTGGCTTAAATTATTAATTAGAAGAAATTGAATAAAATAAAAAACAAAATTAATCCATTAAAGAAGAAAAAATAAAGAAAATCGAAGTGATAATAGAAGACAGAAATATACAAGCTACTGGAAGTAGCTGGTCTCCTTTCAGCCAATTGGAGCAAAGGAAAAAAATAATATTTTCTGTATAACTTTTCTTCTTCAAGATTCTTCTTCAAATATTTTTCGCTAACGAACGTCGAGGAAACGATTTACGCGGTTATTGCAATGACATCTTTATCAGCAGTTAATATGTGCAGGGACCTTCCGTCCAGCGGTTGTACAAAGGTGGATAAAGGGAACAACTTAAATCTTTTTGAAAACAAAAATTTTCATTAAAAATGTTTACGTTGTTTTCCGTTCCAGATGATATCTCTTAAATACACTTATTGCTGGACTATCGAAAACTTTAGTATTTTTCAGAAAAAAACGTGTGGGAAAAAGATAGAATCGCCAGACTTCTCAATTGGCACTAATGGTGAATCAATATGGTAAGACGATATAATAGTACTTATTATTACTTATTCTAATAATTCTTACGTTTTCAGGCAACTTTCGATGACGCGAAAGTGGCACAGAGGTTGTATGCGTTACATTTTAAATTTAACGTTAAAGTCCACCGACAATTCCGAATTTAACGCTACGGCTAAAATTAATCTATTTAATTCAAACGGGGAAATAATCCAAACTCAAGAATAGTACACAAATTTTTTTTCTTAAATAAAAGTAATGTAGTTGTTTTTACAATTTTTATATTTCTTTTTGCAGTAAAAATATTCTTTGCAAAAACGGTGATCATCTATCCTATGACGATCTAACTGAAGATTTTATATTAAACGAAAGTAATTATGTGATTTCTGGAGATAAACTAAAAATTTCTTGTGAGATTAACGAAGTGGAAACGGTTAATATTCCTGGGCAAGTAGCGGAGCATAAAATGATCGAATGCGAGTTAATCGCAGATTTACGACGTTTACTCGAAAGAGAAGAATTTAGTGATGTTACATTGGCCGTGAACGGCCATGAAATTCGTGCTCATAAAAGTATATTAGTCGGTAAGTTGAAAAATTGGCTATAGTCCGTTCAAAGGAGTCCGTCTATGTTAGACGGCAGACTAAAAAACCCAAAGGATTGTTGAAAATTTGTGAGTTTTTTTCAACATCTTCAGTGTACAGATAGGGACATTCGCGTGGAGCTTCAATGCAATGATATTGATGAACAGCGAACTAGTATTTCCACTAAAATTAGACTTTCTTATCTGATTCATAGCTCATAGGTTTTTTTATCTTTTAAAAGCTCGCAGCAGCGTGTTTGCAGCGATGTTTAGACACTCAATGGAAGAGACTCAAACTAATCGTATTAACATAACCGATGTCGACTATATAGTATTAAAAGAGATGCTAACGTATATGTATACGGGCGAAGTACCTAATTTAAGTAACAATGCTCTCCATTTGCTAGAAGCAGCCGACAAGGTAATGTAATTGAATGAATTGTTCTTTTTTGATTCTTATCTAAATATTAAAACTGCTCCTCTTGCGCAGTATGGCTTAGAAAGTCTTAAAACATTGTGTCAAAATGCACTGTATGTTAACCCTTCGATAGAAAATGCTGCCGAAACCTTAGTACGGGCTGATTTACATAAGGCGGATCAGCTGAAGGCCAAAACTATAGCGTACATCAAAACGTAAGTACTTTTACGATAAGGGTATTTCATGGGAATTCATGGATTTCATAGGGGCCTTATCAACATAATGAAGCACCAAACGTACCTCCTTAGGTTACACAGTATTCCGCTTTGAAGTTTTGCGTCTTTTCTTGTGTCATGCATTCGATTTCTTTTTGTTTGATGATTAGAAGGAGTCCTCTCTTTTCCAAGTTTCTTCAGTTCCGCAACTTTGAAAATAACCTGGATGATGCATCATTAAAACAAAAGAATATTCATTCGTCTGCTGAAGATTTAACGCTTTAAAAAAGCGATCACTTCTAAAAAGTCCCAAGTAAAAAGAAAAAACCTGTTTATCTAATGAACGTAAGATCGCTTTAAAAAGATAAGCGCAAACGGTCATTAGAGAAAATTGTTTTTCAAGGTCAATTAAGTTTTGAAAATAGAAAAATGAACACAGTATAGCTGTAAGCTGTGGCTGAAATGTTTCCCGAGCAATATGGGTATCTACTCTGCATTACTTCTAGTTGATCTAATCTTATATATCCATTGTTAGATGCTATGTCAATAGAATAAATAATTTGTGCTCTTAGCGTTCGTTCAAAATAAATCATATTCATTTTGATTCGTAGGATTGTTCTTCTTAAGGGTGCCTTTAATTTTGTCTTCAATAACTCGACTCTCCCTGTGGCCAATCGTCGCACGGAGACATTTCGATGTGTAAATTCCGAAACAAAGTTCTAACATGAAATATTGTCTAAAAAGTAGGGGGAGCACTAGCAACTAAGTAGATCGGCTCTTCTGTTTTTTTAGTTGTTTAAGATAGATTGGATGATTAGTTTCACAGCTTCAATAAAGTCCGATATTTTATTGACACCAAGTTTTCCAGCTTATTTCAAGATATCCATAAAGTTATATGCTTCGAAAACTAATCTCCGAATTGTAGAAAGGTTTTATAAGGGCTAATGCACAACTGCTGTCATAAACTGCAATTTTTAACCGAAGTGAAGTTAGTGCACCAAGACAAACCCCCTGTTCAAGGGAGGTATCTTCGCCAAAAATGTCTTTGCTAAGTGGCGATTTATCGCGAAATAAAAACAAAGGCGTAAAATAAATATTAGTATTAAGCAATATTAGCAAGCGTGCACATGTAAACCAAACCTAGCCTCCAATTACGACCACAAAACCAAACAAGCGTAGTTATTGTTAATAAATCTCATGCAAAATTACAGTTCAAACACTGAAAGAATGCAATGTTCATATCGTTTTCAGAGATACATATTCAAAGACACAACGCAAGTATAGATTTTTGGTGAAACCTAATATGTCCTCTCCATATACATAATACACTAAAAGCAAAATGTTGCAATCATTTTTCGATAACGTTGCTAGTGGAATGTTCAATCTTATATAATGTGAGGGTGTCTGTCGGTCACAAATCTGTCGCTGGTGTATGCTTGTCTGAAGCCAGTCTCCTCCATAAGAAAATGTGTTTTCTCGGGAGGTTTCATTCGTCGGTTACGCTTCGGTTTACAAATGTCAAGAGCAAAGACGTCGTTTTCTATCGTCTAATTTTAATTAAACCTCTCAAGAGAAAGTGTTAAGTTTACTGCAAGTAGAGAATAATCTTAGTTTTACGCAGATGTCGAGCTCGGTTGGCTGCCGGGAATAGAAGAGTAAAAACCCTGAAACTGTCGGCCCCTTGACTCGGATGACTGTGGATAGCACCTAATTCTGACTGTCTTTGGCAACCTTACGCCGTATCTCAATCAAAAATCAGATGTTTCCCCAAATCCGTCGTTTGTCATGTCAACATAATATAGCAATTAAATCTTAACACATTCTGCTCCGCAACGTAGTACATGTAGTAAATGTGAAGCCAAAACGAGGGTCGACTTTGACTCCGCACAATACACGTATATATAAGATTACACATTACGGGCATACGTTTGGAATAAAACTGTACACGAATCTACATTTCAAAATATATAAAACATTAATTGTAGGCTTTAGAGAAAAGTCGAACAGAATACAAGTAAGTGTTGGAGCAGGCTTCAGTATCCGTTAGATTGGATTATTAGTAAGAGGGTAATTTTTATTGCAGAACTTAAGATTGTTTTTTTTCAATGATTTTTGACGAAAATGAACTCTTGCTAACATATATTAATATATTATTGATTTCACTTTTTCGTGCTTCCCTTTCTTTATTTAATAGTTACTTCCACGAAGTTGCGAGTACTCAAGGTTGGCAGCAAATGCTCACAAGTGATCCGCGTTTAGCTGAGGAGGTAATGCGCGCTTTCACAAAACAATGATGTCAACGATTGGACATTAACAAATAAACGAATATATGAGCTGAAATTATTGCAATGTTTACGAAGGGAATCATTATTTAGACGTAGCGATAAACAAAAAAATCACAAATACACATTATACTAATAAACAAAAATAACCTCAAAACCCACAAATAATCCTAAAGAAATTTCAATTACGATGAAATGCAACGAGGTAATTTTATTATCGGCAAATGGCGGTGCACGCAGCCATAGCGCAAAAAATTGGAAAATGTACATTCTTTCATGGATTTAGGGATTTTACCCGACCATTAGAGTCGTTTCAATTTGCACATTAATCTATCCTTAAATAAATCTCGGTCAGTGCTCGATTGTGGTAAACACTGGCCTAAGGAACTTCGCGACCCTTGCGTTACAAAATGCTATATACGAGCTTATTGAGAACAATACTTGAACATGCGTCTGAAGTATGATCCTCTTCCTATAGGTGCTATGTAGATTCAATAGAATCCGTTCAAAAGCAATTGCTGCCCTTTGTCCTTGCGATTTTGGGCTTAGATACACTTGTCTCCCTGCCTCTTTACAAAGCCAGGCTGATTTTTCTAAGCTTGCCGCCACTTAGAAAACGTATATTTATCTTTGGTGGTTCCTTATTAAATAAGCTAATGAACGCCACATTAACCGGAAGGATAAACCCCAATGTTCCAAACCGTTCCTCTAGGAACTTCACTTTCCCAACACTTATTCAAAGCTGACCTGATTACGAGCTTTTCAATCCTTTTACAATACTTTGCAAAAATTTAAACGGTCCCTATAGCTTAAACTCAACATCGGACTCATTAAAAACTAGCATATTAACTCTCCTAAATACGGGCACTTATCTTGTCTTGTATCTCAATTAGCTTCTAATCTCTGAGCCGAGCTTTTGCATGTTTGCAATCGTTTGAAGCTTCACCTCTTACAAGGATTTACGCCTCTATGCTAGATGTGTACATCCTTTTTTTTCTGTGTTTATTTTTACATGAATTTTCTATTATTCTATTCTATTTCTATTAATTTATTTTTCCTTTAGTTTTCTTGAAAAACTTTTTAACCTTTATTGATAACACTTAGCATGAAATTTATTTCTAGGAGCCATTTAAATTCAGCTGTTAATTTGTTTCAGCTGAATTTCATGTGTAAATAAAACAAATAAATAAATAAATAATGGATACAACATTTTTATTATTATACATTTCAGCCATATACATATATATATATATATATATTGTTACGAAATTCGCTCTTCTCGATATGGTAAGTATCACTAGATCGTGGATATTCTTTTTAGGAGAAATAAATTTGCACGTTTTCACTTCAAGATTCTTTATTTACAATCAATTTTCTTAAGAGTAGGATTATTCACAATTTATTTTGGCAATACTCTCGGCTTCTCAACTCAAATATTCTTTTCGACTAACTCTGCCTTCCGCAACTATTGTATTCACATTTTTATAAGCATATTACTATGGCTTCATTTTTAATCCGTTAACCTGCTTTTCCGCTAATTTTTCTCGCCGGCCGGCAGCTGCACGACGCGCCGCGTGTGTACTTAGTTTGTCCTTCCCTAGAGAATCCATTTTTTGGGAAAATTAATCAGATGGAATGAACTGGATTTGGGATTTCCGTAACAATATCTTAAGTCGATGGCTTAAATTACGTATTTCAGGAGAAGATCATTACTCAAAAGCACATAGGCAAAGTTAATGGCACCGTTTACAAAGTAAAGGATTTCTTAACATATTTTTCGGCTTCAAGTACTAACACGCCAGCTTAACCCTAAATATTGAACTATGACGTCAATCAGAAAATTTGGCATGTAAGTTAAAAGTAAGTAGTACACGTCATCTTTAGACTTAAAGTATTCAAAACCAACACAAGTCCAAGTAACTATATACATTCTGTTACACATAGATGTTCATAGTGCCTAGTCTTACGGGTACATAGAGTACAAACTTCAGTAAATGTTTTCAGTTCAGTTTTTTTACTCTCTCTTACGGTCTTTCATATCATTTGTTTATGGTGGTTGTCTTGGGATAGTACTTAAGAATTTTACTGCGCCAATGTTGCTAGCGGTAAGTCTTGTCCTATATGTGTAATATTTTTGGGAATACTCTCTTTTATTGGTGCCAAGTTAGACAAAGACAAAATGATCCCTGTTTACAATCAGACTTTTTATCTAAGGTAAACACCCATTTT